TTAAAATAACTTGTTCAATACTTAAAAACGTTCTGATTTATTTTCCAGGGTGATATAGGAGGACCCTTGATTTGCCAGACTGATGGTAAGTGGGAAGTCCATGGTATTACTAGCTTGGCTGACTCTGCCTGTGCACAAGACGTTCCAGATGTTTACACTCGCATAAGCGCCAATTTTGATGCCCTTAATAGAATGATTCCTGGTAGTGAAAATGGCAACCATGGATTTGGGAATGGTAATGGAAATGGAAATAGTTAGGTCCTAGACATAATTTCTTGTGAATTGTCTATTGCTACAATTGAACCTATAATAGATAATTAAACTGCGTATATAACTTTATTGATACATATGCTTATTTATAAAGGTAGAAGTGACTATCTGATATCGAAAATCGATTGTCATATAAAGATTTCAACAATTTGAAAGTACAATGCACAGATGTTAAACCACTATTTTAGTGTTTCATTTGAGTAAATTCTTCTAATTTGTCATCACCTTAGGCATACTTTCCCTTCTTATTTGTTTTTCTATTCCACATTTAAAGTCGGGTTGGTTGGACCCATATCGCTCATAGTGTTCTTAATACTAGCAATTAATTTAACTGCTTCTTCTTCAGTCAGTTCTTCTCCAATAATAACCTCTGCCATCTCCGTAAAAGTCAAGCTCAGCAAAATCCACTGTCATAGTTTTACCATTTAACAGAATAACCTGGTAATTTTGGTAAATCCAGACTTACCATCACCATGAAGACACCTTGTTAAAGGGCGGCGGTCGTCGCGCAGCGCGTGTTCGAATTTTATGAAAATAAACAATGTACTATACATTGCGTTGTGTACGTCACTATGAGTCCCATATTGAGCAGGATGCGGCGCGACGACCACCGCCCGTTCATATATGATAGTATTTTGAAATGAGCATAGTGTGAGTAGCACTAATCTATAATAGTACTAGACCTATGGGTAAAATGGCTCTAGATCAAGCGATAAATGTACACAGTGCGAGTGACATTGTTATTGCATTGTCAACGACGTCGAGAAATGACGGGCGAGTATATCAAATAGTCTCGTAATTATTGTCTAAAAATACAAATTTACGTACAATTGTTGTATCATTTATTCATTGGTGATGTGGGAAAATTTAGAGTGTACCTAATTTTCATTGTCATTCACCTCCACGTTTTTCTTAATGGAATGAAAATAGATATTCGAAAATTAGATCAGCTAGATAATGCTGTAACTGACGAATGGCTTTGAATTAAATATAAAATTTGTATAGCTCAAATCCCTGGTCCCCGTAAAATGGATTGTGTGTGTACAGCATGATGCTCAGTACCGCCATGAACTAGACGCAGAAAATGAACCGTTGTCTGGTTGCCATGACGTTGATTTTTGAGGGCACAGATAACCAATGGTAGGTGTGGATTCACGAAACTCCACTGTTACACTACACCAAACATGATGGGCAGAGCATTTGACACAGCAATATATATACAACATCACTCTCGCGTGAACATTTCACCGGGTGAATTATTTGAGGAAGAACGTTGTGACAACGTTGTAATTCACAGCGTTCCGCAGAACCATGGTATTCATAGTTTTAATGGGGAAAACTAGTCAGAACATGGCGTGCAGTCCGCAAATAGCGATACGTGTCACCGGTAAACTGCACTGCAATCGTAATCATTACAAATATAAGAACCCGGGCATCATTTTAAAAATTCAAGCTGTATTTTCGGGCCACTCGTGTGGTGGTGTTGCCCAGTAGGTACATGGTCTAACCTATGAGCGCCGTGAAAAAATGGGGTCCAGTGTTGACCCAGCCTGATATTTCATATAACAAAAACTAGCCAAACAAAAACCTATTTTAATACACTCAACAGATGAACATGTCAATGTGGGAGATGGTGATTTGTTCGAGTTACGAACATCGAGTTACCAAAATGGTGGCCAGTGTTACAGAAACCACGCCCGCTTTTGCGAAACCAGGCCAAAATTGTTAATCGAACTCTTAATAACAGTTAAGCGTCCATATTTAGTAACTCGAACTTTAATTAACAGACGGGAGCCTTTTCTAAGCTGTCTTGATTTACATAGTTACAACTAATTTGCAACTTTTCACTTATTTGTATTGTTGAAAGGTGTGCTTAACTGATGTTGCCGAATCATTGTCTGTACAATCACGTCTCGGTTGTCAATCAATACATGTACCGCACATTATAGATGTATTTATCGTACTTGCATGTTTGTAATACTGCATTTTATAATACCTCAATGTTTTTAGCAACGTAATGTGATTAACACACCATGTCGCATGCCGGAAATAATGTTTACCTGTATAACCCTGTATTCATAGTGTTACTGGACTATTTAAACTTCAACTTGATTGATACAATTTATCAACAATTTCTAAATTAGGATTTGATGATTCGACTTTGTCCTCAAAGGTAAGCCATTTATTTGCACACACAAAAGTCGTGTTGTGGGCTTTATAAACATATCTCAGGACAACTTTAATGTACAGTAATTGTAAGCATTTCTGAGACTAAGGTATTTGTTGCACCGTCGTTCAAATATACTCACAATCATGGATATATAATATAAGTGGGCTTGGCTTGGTCATTGAGATGTGCCAGTGAATTACAACGGGTTGCAGTAAATCTGCCATTAAGCCACTCACTTTTAGAAAAGGCGGTGTCGAAGACTTTTTTGACTGATTGACATTCTATTGTATATTATCATAAAAAAACTGAGTCTTGAAAGGCTCAGCTTCAGCTGGTCGCCTACAGGTTCAATAACTGTCTCTATATGTTTATCATTGTATATAAATGTGACATTTACTATATGTGGTATGGGGCGCCATCATTGATACGACATGAAACTAAATAAATTGACAAGTTGTGAAACACGTTTTTCAGATTCCTACAAATCAGGAAAAAATACCACTTTTTCACAGCCAAACGATCCGTTGGGGTAATATTAACCCAACCAGTCAAATTCGTCGTTTTTGTGTGCATACGAACACCTGATTACACGAAAAACATAATAAAACACTTTCTTGGGGTACTTGAAATCAAAAATTTGCATTCCAACTCAGCAGCCAATCAGCGACGGCATTACAGTTAGATGACAAGTGAATGAAGACGATGGAATGTCTAAATATTTGTGCAAACAATGTTTTAGTAAACTGACAAAACTGTCGAAACTGATAACATATCAACTTGTCCGATCCTGCCTTCGTTGCAAAATAGAAATAGCAATCGTACCAATCCAATACCAAAATCATATGTCTAACGGGGGAAAGTACAAAACCATGGACAAAAAACACGGTCCCCAGAGGGAATGTGGTTGCAACAAACACATAATTTCCCCCAGATACAGCAAAAAGCGCCTTTTTTGAAGGTCAGTAAGCTTGTTCAGAGAGAAAGAGCTAGCAACACGCTCATTTCCATATTCCAGTTTAATTTTATCATGTACTATGTCGTTTATATCGTGAGTTCTGATTGGGTGATGCAATTGAGCCGAAGTGAATATTATAATCGTTTGAGGGGGTGTGATATATCGAGGTGAAATCTGTCAAGGGTTAATGTTGATGCTCCGGCCGAATAAATGGAACTTGGCTGGCGAAGATGCCAGATCATGGCATTTGAAGGATGTAGTAAACCAGAGTTGTTATTGTCATGCTACTGCGCGCATGCGTAATAAAGAACGAAGGTTGATCACATGGTCGCCATCTTGCATTCAGGTGTCTCACTGCCGTGGTTGGAGTGTAATACATTACAAAGGACTCCCAGACATTTTGTGCATGGGTATAGTTATGATAATTGGTGTTTTTGTCAGTGAGCTCGTGGGAGTCATAGCTTTTCAGGTTGTGGAAATGTCTTTGATTTGGGGGTTCAACTTCAGCTTAAGGTTGCAGAAATTGTGGGTGGCACCTCAGTATTTTCCAGTGATGTGACAAAGGTTTCGAACCAGGTCTCCATATGGACACATGGCAGACGGTGGCTGACCATACTGAAGTATTGAAAAAATATTGTCTGCAGTAGGTCCTTACAGGAGGCTTTGTGTAACCATCACAACGTACTACACTATAGAAGTAGCTACATGCCTTGTGCTGCTGTGTTTTTAGAGTGGGTCAAGCTTGGGCCCTGCAATCTTGGTTGCTTTATTTCAGTCCTAAAGGTCCCATATGCAATACATCAACGCTTGAGTTTTTCTAATTTAAGACGTATTTATTATCTGAATTGACACAAGTATGAAAAGCCTTAACTATTTGGGTAAAGTGAACATATTGCTTGAATGAACGACAAAGTTATTAAACAATCCTGAATACAATGTAACATATCCAGTTACTTGACTCTAAAATAACAAATGACAAAGTTGGCATCCATAAGTGCCATCAGACACACACTGTGTCAACCCCCACACCAACACTATGTAGGGAAATCTTCTGTAAAAGTGAAAAGTTACGTAAGGGCTGCCCATGCTGGCCAAACCATGACATATGGGAAAACAATTACTGCCCATGCCAATAGTTTGACTAAAATTGTGTACTGATGCAACTCTTATACAGAAACTATGATCTTTATAATATCGGGGGCTTAAGCCACAAAAATTTAGACCATCATAGAATTTTATTCACGTTTCATGGGCTGTTGATTTGGCATACTGAACAGGGAGCCAGGTTTTTGTACACTAATGGCAACAACATTGGAGACAGCAATCTGATTAAAATCTGATGTAGTGTACGGGCTTTAATTATTTTGGCTATAAACTTATTTTAATTTTATTTTTTATTACTTTTGTTATTAATGCCTTTTTATATAATTATTTTACTTTGATTTTGATTTTCTTTAATTCCGCCCTACATACATCTGATTTGACGCCTATGTAAGTCCCGTTCAAATCTCGCGCAAGTAACAGCCAATCACAGACCCCTTTTATACAGGCTGTCGGTTGCTTACTTTT